ATCCGTATTTTGTTGTTGATGCTGAGTTGTGTGACGAAGATTTCCAGATTGGTTTCAGGTTGATATGTGTGTTTCTCGCCTTCCCGATTCTCGCTCGATTTGACATCCTCGTCCGTTCCTCCTGTAGTTGAGACAATGCTCCCTAGATGAGTGAATGAAGTAACCTCTTTCAAATCACCCCGTTGATGGTTAGGAATATCATTGGTGATAATAAGCACCCTTGTCTGACTCCTGTGTTTACTCCAAACGCCTCACTGAGTTTTCCGTTGTGGATCACTTGACATGTGCCGTTGTCGTACAGCTGTTGAATAACGAGTGATGATATAATAATAATGATACCGCTATATTGTGGGTTTGATACTAATACTGATCACTGATTACTTCGCATCTCCAGAGCGCAAACAAATGAAGACAGAGGGCAAACTGGTCTGTGCCGATATAAAAAAGATCGACTTTATCATATCATAAAAATAAATTACGCACAAATGTTGGGTACCTCGGAAAGTTAAGCCAATAAATAGCCAATCATTTTAGTTTCATAAGGTCAGGCTTCTAGACCGTTCAGTCACATTGTAATAAATATTCTGCTTCCTCCTAGTGGTTTACTTTCTTCTGTCACATACAAAAAGTCTGGCATAGGTTTTTAAAAACTTTACTTTCACTTGAAAAAAAAGAAATTTACTTCTGAAGGTAATAAGAAATGCAGTAAGTTAGTGAATAGAATTATTAAAGTATTTTTAGAGATATTAGCGGAGAGAGACAAAGGTAACACCCAGAGATATTGTGCTGTTCCGAGATACATTGACATCAGTTATTAAATCAATAAATTCAGATGAATCTGACACACTTTGACGATTGGAATTGTTTTTTGACATGTAGAAGAGTGTTTGTGAGCCACTTGACAATAACACCATATGGTAAGTTTTTCGTATCCAAGAAAGGACGTAGTGGTAAGTACTAACTGCGAACATCTTGGAAATGGAATTACAGAATCATAGGGTCGTAATTGCTCATAAATGTCAAACTGAACGTGTAGAAGAAAGCCTAACAGAAATCATGAAGAAGATGAAGAATGAATTGATCAATACCTCAGAATTATTTGAGCCGCCATGACTCTCAGGTCCCGTAACTCCACCTTTTTTATATAGTCTCCCGAAAGTGCACAAGGACTACATACCATTACACCCAGTCTTAGACATGAACAACTTACCATGTCATCTTGAAAATGAATGCGTCGGTTGTTCAGTAGTGGAAAAATTGCCAACCCTACGCGTGATCATGGGTTTGATCCCCGACTGGCTCACTCCTAAACCTCACTCAGTTTAGTATTCGATAGTAAGCCGGCAGGTAAGGGGATGCTGGGCGTGAGACTAGCAACCTTACTCCGTAAATACAACACTACTGTCACTGAACCTTCAAGGCTTCAGGCTTGAAGCCCCAAGTCCCATCCGGAACGCAAAGGAATGTAAAAAATCTTGTAAACTAACAATTCTGTTCTTAATCCTGCACTGAGCACTGGGTTTACTGTGAGGAAGAGTGCAAACTAAGACGAAGAGGCTGCTCTCTGCTGCTTATTCGAAGTGATTTTCATCCGAATCTCACTACGTATCTCCTGGGTTGCTACGAATAGACTCTTAGAATGTAAATAGTGTTGGGCCGAATTTATGAATAATTATCAAGGTTTGTTTACTGAGTGAAATTACTAGGGTTTTTCAACTGACTGAAACATAGGATGAATAAAATATATGAATGAAAAGGTAGACGATTGAACAGTCTAAAAATTTCCATTCAAATAAGCTTTTCCTACGGCTCTTATCTAAGTCAGTACACTGCTCATTACAATCACCATACCAAGCAATCCTGTAATCTGCCTTGCGGTGACTGCTGTTCGAATTCAGCATGAGCACTCTATCTTATTAGGGGATGCGTCGGTCGGAATTATGTGCATCCCAGTTAATGATGGTAGTATAGGTTGTGCATCCAGCTGATAAGTTTCAAGTAAAATTATCTTCATCTCATGAAATAGCTGAAGCCCCGTACTGTGAACCAATATGTCAATAAAGACCAAAAATTTCAGTTCGAAGCAACCAACCAATTATTATTATTTCCTTATGTTCTGAGTGGAACAGAGGGCATCAGCGACGCATCTCCATTCTCCACTGACATTTTATGTCATCCTCTCACTGGTATTTTCAATGAATCATTTTCCAGTAACACTGTACCTGCTTCTTGGAAAGACAATAAAATTGTTCCTGTACTTAAATAATCAAATGGACCAACTGTTAAGTTCAAACCTATTGCCATCACTTCACCTTTTTAAAAAAATGGAAAGACTAATTTCACTTAACCTTGAACCTTCATTGAAGTCTTTTAACGACCTTAATCAATTTGCTTATAAACTTAGTGGGTGAACTTCAGATGTCAACGTCGTCTTATATCCTCGCATTGTCTCTAGTCTAGACAGAGGTGCCAAATATATTCAGTGTGCCTTCCTAGATTACACACCTGCCTTCGACCGTGTATCTGGGCCTCTTTTGTTAAACAAGCTTGCTGCGTCCCAAGCGCAGTGCTGGATTACCCAGTGGTTACATTTCTACTTTTCCTTTAGGAAGCAGTACCCTGTATATAATGGGAAGTCCTCCACTATTTCACTTGCTTTAGATGATGTTCCTCAGGGAGCTTTCCTTTCTCCCTTTCTGTTTTCCTTCTTCGTAAATGACTTGCCCCATTCTGAAGAAGCCAATTTTGCTAAGTATACCGATGATTTGACTGTTTCTATGCCTGTTACTTCTCAGCCAGACTGTTCCAAAATGAATAACTTTTCATCAGAAGTCATTCAGCGGTCCTTTTCAAATAGTCTTAAGCGGAATCTCTCTAAATATCAGGTCGTTAATTTCACTTTCAGATGCAAGTGCAACTTGCGTGAACTGGTTAGCTTGCACGGTTCCACTATCATGGATGATACTAAAGTTGAAACCAAATCGAATATTGACTACTTTGTATTGTATATTTCCTCTGACCACCTTTCCTGGTCTCCTCACATCATTTTAGTTTCCAGAAAGATAATTCGTTTGACGTTCTATGTAAGCAAGTTAAGACGATCTGGTATCATTCTATCTCTACTGTTACCGTTTGTTAATCCTTGTATTCTGCCTATCTTTCTTTACTGCTCCCCCTTAATCTTTCCCGGGCTACTTAAGAGAGACTTCGTTAAACTGAGAAGGGCACTAAAAGATGTCAGTAGGGGGAGTGGGATGTTCCCGAACCAATTCATTAATACTGTTGTAGCTAGAGACTTGGATTTCTGCAAGAAACTAGCAAATATTATCTGGTCAGACTCTGAACATCCCCTCTATACACAACTCTCTCCTTGAATCTCATCGGGTATAACCAGAAGCAACTATAGAAGAATATATGCTCTGACAAATAAGTACCATACCTTATTTAGCAGGAACACATTTTTTATGTAATGAGAAAAGTGTAAGACAGGAAATTACCAACTGATTTTGTTCTCATTGTTACATTGTCGTTAATATTTTCACTTGATTTAATTTTATATTCGCTCCTTATTGAACAATATTATTAATGAGTATTATTATTAATGTGAATGCCCTATTTAAATTATTACCCCTGTAATGAGAAAATTAAATGCAACATTGTATTACATGCTGGAAATTCCATATTTGTACCAAAAGTGCTATTTGGAATAAAGCTATTATTATTACTATTATTTAGCTAGCCCCAAAATTGCCCATAAGCTTTCATGACCGCCTCACATGATTTCCACCATGTCACCCTTGGAGTCATGTCCAACTGACGGTTTCCCATTCGGTATGCACTCGAACGGTGACCTGGCGCGTGATATCACTCAACGGTCTCCTCAGCGTATGTTCTTCTGCATATTTATTCAGCAATACGTTGTTGATCGATTCGTTGCCATAGTTCCCTGTTGCTTCTCTTTACTCACCATCTGATTTTCAGATTCCCACAGTGATTTCAGAGAAACCACCTTTGAAGAATATAAATCAACTTAAAGAAAGATAACATTAAGGGTTAATTAAATCTCATGAACCAGTTCATCAATTAAGCAGTAACATTCAAAGACTGTTTTTATACTGGAAATTATATCGGCAACTTTGAAGAATAGAAGCCCAAACCGAAACGACCTACGAACGCACAAACGACCTTGAGAAACCAATCAGCTGACTGTGTTGTTTCTAGAAGTAATTATGGATGCGCTACACCTTTTGCGTTGTAAATTCGCTTCGGATCTTGTTTTTGATTACTGTTTGGATAAGGGACTCATTGCAAAGTCGAAAATTTGTCAGTGTGGAGGCGATATGCGTATACAAAAATACTCAAAGTCCATTGATGGGTTTGTGTACAGGTGTAATGAGTGCCGGAGGAGAAGATCAGTTCGAGAGGGTATGTCGTTCTTTCTTAGTTTACAGATTGCCTATTATCCAGCGCTTAGTGCTGCCTGGGACCACTATTCACCCAGACGAATGGAGCAGTTACGGTCAATTGTCGAATCTCAGGTATATTCATCATGTAGTCAATCACACAAACGGTTTTCGCAGCCCTTTGGATAGAACTCATACCAATTCAGTCGAAAGTTTCTGGAGTCACCTAAAAAACGGATTAGATGTGTGAATGGATCTAGAAATCCAATGATATACAGTTATCTTGATGGGTTTATGTATAGAACTTGGTTTAACAACAGTATGAAGGCACCTATGAGAAATTGGGAGCTTTTTTGGAATAAATACGAGAACGTTATCCATTATAACTATTTTTTAAACATTGCATTAATTTTATATAAACCATTTTTTACAATTATGCGCCGTTTTTTTAGCCTTCTGATTGGTCGAAATTGTCCTTGACAAGGTCATTTGTGCGTTCGTAGGTCGTTTTGGTTTGGGCTCCTATTCTTTAGAGTTTCCATTATATCTATACCCATTAAAAACAAAATTCAGATATTCTATATACCCTTTTTACAGGAATCCCATCAACCACAACTATACGTGACTGCAAGCATCTTCAATAATTCTAAAGATACAAACTTATTATTACATTCATCGCCAGCTAGACATCAACAGACAACTGGAGTAGCCAATTCTCAAGATGTTGACTGTTCATATCCAGACGACTATATATCCATACATGAATTCTCCACTAAAAGTAACACAAATTTATATCCTAAGTACAATTTAACACTTTCAAGTGATTGGTCTGAGTTTTTAAAAATTTACCTTGAAAATTATGTCTCCAGTGCCTTCTTATTTGATATCACCTTAACACCAGGATTTAAATCACACGGTCAAATAAAATCTACAATGCACCTAAGCAACTGTTATGAGTCATACAAGATATGTGATTTTCAAATCATCGGTCAATATCAATGTAAAGAAGACTGTGTTCATGATGTTAAGCAGTATAAATTTTTAAATAATAATTATACTTCAATAAAACAAGCAATACCTAACAAAGAAGATTGTGAAAAAATTTGTTGGGCAATAAAACAGCCACATACATACAGAAATGGTGGATTGTATATTTGTGGGAAAAGGTAAGTTTATGAATGGTATTGTATGATGTCAACGAGGTGGTCAACTTCTTTCTATGAAATCTGTAAATCATCAGGTTTTCTCAGTCATTTGCGTTCCCAGTGGAACATAGACCTTTAAGCTTTGAAATTTCAGTAACGACAGTTCTTTTACGACGGGGGGGGGGGGGAGCGGGAGACTCACTAGCCTTAGGTCCAACCTTACGTCATTTTACAGGGTTATTCTCAGCCGTCGGTGGCACAGAGGTTTAGACGCTCACCGACCATGCACATGGTCCTGGGTTCGATCCCCGTCCACTGGACGCACTCCTTTACCTCACTAAGCCAGAAATAAAAGCTGGTAAAGAGGAAAGGTTGGGCATGAGGCTGGTAACCCCATCTTGTAAAAATAAACACTGCTACCGAAACTTCAAGCTGGCTCTAGCTCATATTCCACTGGGAACGTGAAGGAATAGAAAAAAAAATTCTCAGCCAGTAAACTAGGCGAAGTTCAGGAGTCAGTCGGTTAAGAATTGAACCGGGACCTTCCGTGTGACTGGTAAGCATTCTACCATAGGATCACGGAAACACTAAAATATCGTCCCTGATAGAACTCAAACCCACAGTCATTTGATTCGAATTCAGATGCCTCATCCATTAGTCTGTGGACGCATTTAGGTAAACACTATCATCAGTGATAATTCAAGGACATATACTTTAGCTACACCTGTGGAATGTGTCATTACTTGTTAATTACTATTACATACTTTTAATTTGCGTTGATAAATAGTCAAAGGAAAGAGGGCGTTATATCCAACACCTGATGATTTATTGATTTAAAACTAAAGGTGTCAACTGAGTATGATATATTAAGTCTAAATCAATGGAAAATTTTGAAAAATATCTGTGCAATATTTGTTATTGAGTGTTGCTTTTCAGGGATTTGATTGGTTAAAGGATCGATCACCAGCTGAAATCAGCTGCCCAGTACTCCCAGGTTTTCCAATGGTTCGCTAACTAACTGACGTCGGCTCGTGATCGATCCCGTAACCAGCATCGTTTAATTTTTCAAAATTCTTTAGACGACATTAGTTTGAAAGAGAGTTTTTTGAAATACGTTAGTTTAACACTTGTATTGGAGTATAGATTAAGTCAGGAATCAAAGAACATTAGACGACTGTTTTGTTCTAGTTTAATGCTTTCCTCGTGGTGTGAGCCCATGAATGACCAGGAGTCGGACCTAAGACCTTGTGATTACGAGACCATCCAGTTGGCCATACGGCTATTTGGGTTGGAATTATGTGACCCCTGGATTCAAATTTCCAGTGTTCCTTGCATTTTCAGCGAATTTCTAATTGATTTTGGTTATGATAAAATCAATACTGACATACTTTTTTCAGTAAAAAGAAAGAAAGAAGGAAAATTAATCTTATCCTCGCTAGTGATTGGCTGTAGGATGAAGTTGCCTGGAGGAGTTAGAGTGGGAAGTCATCACCGCCAGTGGGGTCAACCAACAGGTCGGGAATGAGGACAAATACTCGTCAGCAATGGCAGTGGCCGGTTGGTGGTCGTGCTTAAATCACGAGATGGTTGAAAGTTAGAATTCATGGGCTGGCAGTTGAGCTGGGTCCCGCTGGCTGAATGATCTACGAGCTTTTCTGGGTTCGAACCCTGGTCGTGGGTGCGTACTGTCGATGAGTCTCAAACTAGGCTGACGAAGCAGCTGTCCGGTACTCCTTGCTGGTTTTCAATGGTTCTCTAACTGATGTCGGTGGCACAGTGGTTAGGATTCTCGCCGACCATGGACATGGTCCGGGGTTCGAACCCCTACCGACGCACACCCGATATCTATGGTCGGCCTGCAAAATTTGGGCTACCGATATCCATGCTGAAAATTCCATACTTGTACTGAAAATACGGTGTAGCATCAAGCTGTAATCAAAATTTTAAAAAATTTTAAAAAATAAATAAGAAATAATCCATGATCAAACTTGAGAAAAGAAAGGCATTTAGACATCATGGGATGAATTCATGATTGTCTGTCCGATTGCAGTCATCTTATAGATAAGAGTTTTGAGTGTTTTAAATTAGTGACGCTTGAAAGGATGAAATCTTGCTGTGATGTTCAGTGAACAATTTACAAAAAAATAAAAACCCTGAAACGCGGACTTTTAAATAATCAAATATAATTCATCAGTGATATTGGGAAAATACCTATGTCAGCTGTGAGAAGTCAGATTTTTTATAATTGTGAAATCAAAAATCAATATTTGGTAGATAATACTGTTAGGACTATTTGAGACGACAAACTTAGCCCGATGTTACAAGTAATAGTTGAAGGTTGAATGAAGACTTAATTCTCAATAAGACTCGAACCAGCAGCTTTCTGATCTCCAGTTCCCCGTATCTCATCACGCAAAATAAAACCAACTGTCATCATCCCACTTCTAACTGTATTCAAGAACACAGAGTGATGGACTGTTGCCACTCTTTCCTTCCACTATTATAATGAACTTAAAGAGTGTTTACCAGATAGACCTGACGAGTGAGTCAGCAGTGAATCCAGTTAGTAATCTGTCAACAGAAAGTTTCGAATGGGATTACTACTTTTTTATCATTTGGCCTTGGATTATTATTGATTGTGTATTTCGAGACTAGTAATCACGAGTTAAAGGAACTGAGTAACACTCAGATAACCTTGAGTGAGAAAATAACTTCATCACAATACTGAATATCATCTTAAGTGCCATTTCACTTTTTACTGCGTTCACATTAGTTAAATTTCAAACTGTTGCGTGGTTAAGTCTCTGACTACAGTACTGGGTAGCATGGGTATGAGTCTTTGAAGGGAAAACATCAGTACCCTCGAGATCGTAGATGCATCTTGTCGCTGAGTACTAATAAGCGTGCAAACTAGGTTCCCCTCCCCCCAGCCAAATTACTTGCCATCAGTTACATTCCAGTATTCCAGTTGTGGTGTCTAATCTTATAATTTTAGACAGTAAAGCACAGTTATACAGATAAGCCTAAAATGTTACACAGTCACTTTTTAAGGTCAATCAAACCAACGGAATAAAGCCTAAAGAATTTACCTCAGGTAAACTGCCTCTATTACTCTTTTAAAGTAGCTTCGAATATTCTAACCTTCAGTTGGATTTTAAAACGTGTTTCTTTGCAGGAACTTGATTGATTAGTAGTTTGATCACAAACTGATTTCCGTTGCAGTATCACCGAAAACCCTAGAGAAATACACAGCTCTTTAGTCCTAGTGACAGATTCTTCAGCAGTGGGGATCTAACCCACAACCTTTATGTTACATGGCCAGCTTGTTGAACATTCAGCCATAAGGATGGAATACAATGACCCGTGAATTCTAACTTCTATCGATTCGTGATTTTAGCACTACCGCCAGCCAATGGATGTCATCAGCAAGTATTTGTCCTCACACTCAACTTGATGGACTCCGCTTGTCACAACTGTGTACTCGAACTTCAGTACGCTTCATCCAGTAGTCAGTCGGTCACTAGTAAACATTAGACTGATTTTCAAGTGTCGGTTTTGCAGGTATATGATTTACTTCAAAGTTGATAAACAGTTAGAGAACCAATGAAAACTAGGGAGCACTATACAGCTGTTTCGTCCCAGTTTGGGAGTCCTCACCAGTACGTACCCATGACCTCACCAGGGACCGAACTCAGGATCAAGCCTAGCCTGATTTGACCTAATCCACCAGTCGAGTTAATAAATTATCTACAAATCGATAAAAATTACAAAAAGGATTTGATTGAGTAATTATAAATTGCTTGATGAATTAAGTTTGATGCAGACAAGACTGATTGCAATAGAGTGAAGCACATTAATTGAGCTATAAGATTGGAACCAAAAGTATCCCAACTATCAACCATACTTTCAACAGACTGAATTATGATGTAATCATATTTTACAAAATTCTTCACTACTCTGAATTTAATTTCCCCGCTAGACTTCCTAATGAGTTTAATTCTAAATTTATATCTCAAACCTGTAAAATATTTTCTCCATTAAAATGAATGAGGCTTAACTACTAATTTCTCTTCTCTTTTTCAACACTGGTGTTAGTTAGTTAGTTAGTAGTTAGCTAGTTAATAAGTACTTATAAACTAAAAGTAGCGCATATTATTGCAAGAGAGAAACACAGAATCAATGTTCAATAGTCATTTAATTTCCCCGCTATTATTATTATTATTATTGTTATTATTATTTTGTTCTACAACGATATAATTATACGACTTAATTCATATTATTTAAAAAAAGAGAGAATAATAATAATTTCAAAAATTTTCTACCCCATAATCATTATGATCAATTTAAATTTTTGTTTAAAATAAAAAAATAATATTCATCATAAGTTCTTTTTCAAATTTATAATTCGAATAAATTTAAACAAATTAACTATAGTGTATTACAAACAAATGCACATACACTCTCTGTCATGCACACACACACACACAAACATATATTAAGCAATAGACAAGCAGATATTCAATACATCAGTCACAAACACACAGACTCACACACACCTGCATAAACTCACCCAAATATATAGATACATTTATTTACTTTAAGCAGGTATTTATTTCATATTTTCATAATTTAAATTATTTGCCCTATGAGACCTGACACGTCTATACTGAATTTTTTTGTGTTAATCATATTAATAAATTTCCTATCACTATTATTATTATTATCATTATTAATATTATTGTTACTATTATTAATGACTGTTTTTTTGTTTGAAACAATTAGCAGTGTGATTGTTATTATTATTAACAGTTATTAATGCTGTTATTATTAAATAATATTTTTTTTTACTTTATTAAATATTTGATATTAGTTATCATTAGTGAAAAAATGAAATGAAACAACAAGGAAGTAGAATCAACTGATCCCTTTAGACTGTTTGTATAGCTAATATGCGTATGTATGCCTGTATGTATGTATGCTCACATACTTTTGTGTTCATCAGTGTATAAATGTGTGTGTGG